GTTCTTATGCGGGTGTGTTTGGTGCAACTTTACTCAGCTTAACTTCTGCCATTCGTTACCTAACTCACTTAATATGAATTTGGGATCTGCCATCATGTCGAGCCAAGGGTGAGCTTATTTGCCTTTAGTGAATCTAGCTAGTTTTGTCCCGCCATGATTATATTAAAGCTTGGATCCTAACTAGGATGGAGCCAAGCGGCATACCTTGGCAAATAATTGGTCATACTTGTAAGCTCTTATCTATAATCGATCAACTTGAGGGCTGAGTCAAATGTTGGCCATATGTTGAAGGGTGTACCAGTGCACCCAAAAAATTAGTAAATGAAAAATGTTATCCTAGATGAAGGAAAACTAATTCAATCTAGAGAAAGTTGCATTTTCTATTTAGAGATCGGAAAATAATTTCCATAACCGACATGAAATATAGACACACCACTTAATTACTACCGACCTCTACTGTAACTATTATTTATTACCCGCCTATATTGGTAGAAACAGACAACGAAACAAAAGAATGGATTAGTTGATAAGGACCTTATGGAGGACATAGTATTCATTGGTGAAAAGTAGATGAAATTATATCAATTGAAGTTGTCATTGCAGGCGACATGGATAATTTTGTGAGTGTTTTGAGCCACAAATAGGATTATAGGATTAGCTTTAAGGTGCAATTTCAGGAGGATATGGGGAGATAGCATGATGCAATGCTTTTCCTTTGGAAATTCATTCAACTCAGATTCCACTGAGAATTTCATGGTATGCTTTTTTCCCACCTTTGCTTTGTGGATACGAGGGTGAAACTTGTGCATCGACAGTCCCATGGTGTTCCATTGTGTCTCAAGGTATGTCAGGTTCTGGTACTTCAAGTTTATTGGGAGCATCCGTCGAGAAAATGATTGCCCAGCTCACATCCTTGGTGAAAAAGTTTAGGAGAAAATATTTATAGAAAGATGTGCATAAAACTTTTTACTTTTAGACCTTGATCGAAATGGAGTAAATTATTTTCTTGGCAGGGGGAGAGATTGCTCAACATTTAGATCCACGAAGTCATTCCTACAGAGAATATGACCTCACTCACAATGTAGAAATTTGGTTTTAGATTGGAGGGTGAAATGGTGGTACCTAAAGGGTGAGAAGTTAACCTCATTCAAAGACAAGGAGGTTGGACAAGCTAGTTGTGATTTAGTCGATAGACCTTATATTATCTAGGATAGAATAACTAAGACCTTTGAAGCATGAATAGTCCTGGTATAGTGGAGTATCAGTCCAACATGTATTGGACTCTCGAGGCATGTTTTTGATACGTTACGTAATATGTCTTATATTTTTTAAAATTTGACACCTAAGCAACACTTTCTTAACATGCCTTGGACATGTGCTATCTAAGTTTCATGTTATTATGGTTCCCATTGTATGGGACTTAAATCCCACATTGAAGGTATGGGCTTTCGGTGTATGGTTTATATAGATTTGGGTTCTCCAACTTTAATAGCTAACTTTTGAGGTACGGCTTTTTCAAGATCTATATCAATGGTATAGAGTAGGCATCATGTCTCCCAGTTGCAATCGAGCAGCGGGAATGGTGATGTTGGTATAACAATGTTCATTCGGGACTAGTCATGGGCTAGCACAAAGTTAGTCCGACGTTGGCGCAGGGATCGCGAAGCGTGGTAGTGGATTATTATGGTTCCCATTGTATGGGATTTGAATCCCACATCGAAAGTATGGACTTTTGGCGTATTGTGTATATAGACTTGGGTTCTCCAATTTCTATAACTAGTTTTTGAGGTGTAGCTCTTCCAAGATCTATATCACATGTACTATATTTCTATATTTTTATAACTTTATTGACGTTTGAGGGACATGCCCTCAAGACGTTAAGAACACAAAAAGCTCCAATTTGTGAAATCTGGACTATAAAATTGGATAAAAAATTTTAATTATTAAAATTTTAAGTTTTAACATTAGAAAAGTTCTACGAACTTCATTTCACATTTATGTTATGTACATTGTATGCATTTTTAGTAAGCACTAATATAAGTATTAAAGTATATTATAACAATTAAATTAATAACAAAAACTACTGTTCTCATTCAAAAGATTTTACCACAAACCATTTAATGAAGGATATTGTCTTGACAGACGTGTTTAATATCAGAATCACCGTGAAACTAGAGTTGTGGATAGAATCTAGAAAGAAAAGGATTCAAAACTAGTCAAATTAAGATTGAGCTCATAGAGGGTGTGGAAGTACTTGCAGAGAGGATCGTAGGGACTGGAGGTTAGGAGATACATTTAAGAGCAATTATTGATTTGGGCAATTATTCACAAGGAAATGGAGATGACCCTTATTTTAGAGGGTAGAAGAAGAGGATCTATATAGCTGATCGCGCATATAAGTACAGGGAAGGCCCTTTGGGTTGAGCTAATGTGCAGTACATGTAATTTGACGGTTAAGATATCTAAAACATGTTTTGTAGTTGAGAATCCTATAAATTTAAAATATGAATAGAGGTGACTCCTAACAATTTAGCTGGTAATATAATAAATCTTAAATAGTTTACAAATATGTACACAATTTCATTAAATAAGTGACAGCAACTCTTGAACCTAGGACTTTTGCCCACTCTGGTGTCATGTTGAACCACTAGATCTAAAGTTTAAGCCTTTAGACATGGCTACATGAATATCATTTAAATATTATTTTCAACGCAATTAATTCATCTATTTGCAAAACATAGTTTTAATATCAAAAGTACAAGGCATTAAGGCCTTCTAAGGCTAAACTCTAAAAAGGCCCACAGTTTTGTGAAGTGAAGGGCATATATAATTGGGACTATAGTTCTCCATACATGCAGAAATGTTATAGAAGTCTTCAGTACACCGAATATTTGTTGATTTACCATCATTTTGGACAAGTTTATTCCCCATCTTTTTCTATCCTAAACTTGTAGGTTCTGCAGCAATGCTCTAAGGTGGATTCTGTTTTACACTGACCATTATACGTGGGATTCCATTTCCATTAAATCTTGTCCTTATTCTTTATAATACTTGGCATGAAAAATGAATCTCTTCCTCCTCCTCACAGAGAAAGCGTAAACTCCAGCGGTTTGTTAAAGATAAGCTGGGAGCTCCTGGATATTCCTTGCCCAACCAACAAAATGGCACAAAACTGAGAAGGGGGCAGCTGTCCCATGTCTCTTCTATTTCATGCTTGCTCAATTCAGTTAACACTACGGAATGCTTTGGGCATAAAATTCTGTCTGACTCTCATAGTTCAAGTAGTTTATTGACATTTGAGGATACATTGCCGGAGAAACAGTTGTATCGAGAATCCTTCTTCCTGGATGATGTAGTAGATAGGAGTTTCCCCAGCAAAGATATATCTCAGATGGTAGATTATGACGAATCTGCAAATTGTTTGATCACTTTGAGTCCAGAAAACCTAACTGTTAATGAGGCACCATCTCTGGATCTTAATGATGCAATTCGATATTTGAATTCAACGACACTTCATGGGGCAAAGAGGAACCACCTTCAGCCACCTCGCAAATCAATCAGGTTGCTGAATTTCATTGGTGATCATCTTGAGAATAAGGTTGTTCCTGTTGGGCCTCGGTTCCAGGCTGATGTTCCTGAGTGGAATGGTCCTATCAGAATTAAAAATTCTTCCGAGAATTCCCGGTGGTTGGGCTCTAGAGTTTGGCCAATTGAAATTGGAAATGCGAAAAGCACCGGCAGAAAAGTAGGAAAAGGAAGACCAAACTCCTGCCGCTGTGTCTCTCCAGGATCTGATGATTGTATTAGAAACCACATTCTGGAGAAAAGATTAATTTTGCAATGTGATCTTGGACCTGCTTTTTTTAGTTGGAACTTCGATGAGATGGGAGAACAAGTTTCAAGTTCATGGACTTTGAAGGAACGGAAAATTTTTGAGTCATTGTTAAAAATGAAACCACTCTCGAGTAGAAACAACTTTATGAAGCGTGCTTTGATGCGTTTCCCAAAAAAAAGTAGTAAAGAGATTGTCCACTATTACTTCACTGTTTTTATTCCGCAGCATATGAGCCAGCAGAGGAGGTTGTCCATGAAACAAGTTGACACTGATAATGAGGAGGAGGAGGATTTTAATGACATAAGTGTGCAGAGATGTGAAGGAAGCCGTGCCGTCATCAACAATTCCAAAGATGTAAAGACTCGATATTTACGCGGTGGTTGTTGACAACATTGAACACCGTCCAGTTGGAAGGTTCATCATGTAGTCTTGTATCTTTATACCTTTTTGTGTTTTTCTCCTAGGCATACCTGAGGTTTTTTTTCTTTTTGCGTTTCAAAGAATACACATCAACATTCTCAGCCCTTAGATTTTGATCATCTCGATAATGTCAATGCTTCTCTCAACAAATTTTCTGTTGAACATACTGTTAGTTGCTTCCAAAGGCTTTTTAATCGTGTCCTGAAAGCCGTGGAGAGATTGCTTTAGTATGAACTCATTTCCAGCTTCTCATTGTTGCCGAAGCAAAACCTTTTTTCTTCTCATTACAGTTTGGTGCTCAAACCCTGTTAGAACCAGTGATTAATGAAAATTGTTCTTGTTCATGTTGTTTGTAAATTGGGTGTGAATTTTTCCTTACCTCTGCCAGTTGCAATTTCTTTGCAGTAAGCTTTTATATGAATCTGAAAATTTATTTTGTATGAGTAGGTTTTCCTTTATGATTTTGCCCGACAACTGTTTGATTTTAGATTGATATTGTGGAGAGAATTTTTATTGACCGGAATTAAGATTTAGAAGGGTTTCATTTTAAAATGTCGATTTTTTCAAAAGGAGTAGTCCAAGTTCTTATAAGTTGATTTATATTTTCATTTTTATTAGATGTGAGATTTATCATTTAATACGTTTTCACAAGATGGTGATTCATTTGAATAGATCAATTTTGAAATTCTTGTGCTCATTTTTCAGTTAATCATAATGAATTGTTCGTTTGAACTTAATAGACTTTGATTATATGTTAATACATGGGGTTCTATCTTAAAATGTCAGTATTTTTAAAAGGAGTATTCCAAATCCTTATAAGTCGGTTTATCTTTTTATCTTTATTCAGTGTAGGATTTATTTCTTAACATGCCATTATATTGGTTTTTCATTAGTTTTATAAGTTCTCAGGGCGTAGAAGGATTTGGTGGATTTTGTTGATTTATTGATGGGAAATTGAGAAGTAGAAAGATGGTAGCTTCTCATATTCGCACTTACCTTTGGATGGTTAGAACATCTTCAATGCATTTAACGTATTGCAATCTATGTGACAAATAAATAGAAGGATTCTTCGTCCATGTGATATTATTGTTTAATAAATAGCCGGTCAAGTTTAAATTTAATATCCAATGAGTTTTGTCTACAATTCAAATTTATTTAATGAGAGTGAAAAAAAAAAGAAAGAAAGAAAGAAAGAAAGAAAGAAAGAAAGAAATACAAGAGAGACATCTACATTTAGACATTGTTTATTTTTCTAGCACATTAGCTTGATAGAGTCTCAGTAAGCTTGCATTGGAGAGGAATTTTTATATAAATGTCTATTTTTACTTATGTGATAACAAATAATCACGGTTGTATTGGAGACTCATATTAACCCCTCACCGTTTTCTCATTGCATTAAAGATTTTCAGCTTTTTATCATTACCCCAACTTTTTTTATCCTGTTCTTATATTCAATTTTCTATTAATTAGCACATCTTGTCTGTAATGATGGTTTTTGTGCAAACAGTCCCTTAGGAGGGCATAAAAACTCATTTGACCTCATATTTTTTATTAAAAAAAAAATGCAAAAGTGAGCAAAGTATTTGGACATAAATTATAATCGGAAACGAAATGTTATAATAAATTAAGGATAAGAACGTGACCAAAAAAAATGTGGGAACATAAGTGCAACAATATGCGAAGATTGTGGACTTTAGTGCAATTAAAAAGATGTGGAACAAAAGAAATATGGGGATAAATAATTTATAAAGGTATTAATCAGCATTTAGCTTTACGAAAGACTGATAATTAAAAAATTCAAATAAAATTAATTCTTTTACATCTTATGTTTGTTAGCATTCCACGTCTATATGAGACGTGGTTTCATCTCAATGATCGATACCCCTTGTCATAAGTATCATTCTATTAGTCCTATGTTCAAGGGCATTTATATTTTTGGAAAAGTAGTCACCTTATGGTTTAGGCCTATCATGTAAAGAATAGACGACAAGTTGACCTAATAGAATGGTTGCTGCAGAGACATTACATCATCAATCATAAAAGATCTTGTACGAAAGATTTGATGGAGAATATGCCTCATATGCCTAAAAGCAATTAACCTTGGAGATTGTAGCACATCGTGTCGCATTGCATCACCTCGTCCATGAGGGTTAAGCCTCTGCATGGGGGTTTGACTAAATGTATCACTTCAACTATTGAAGGACCTTGAATTTTCTATAGAAAAGTAAAGTGAAGTGGGAGTTTGGGTTCGCTTATTATACATGACCATGTTTGGAGCCTTGTTGAATGAGGCGTAAGAATAGTCCCCAAAGTCCATATATAAAATATTCATATAATGCGTGGACATTTTGGGTTGAGGTATATTATCCGTGTTATGTGATCTTTCATTGGAGAACTGATGTTTTGGCATAGAATACTTTTTGTTAGTTGAAATTGTGCGCTGCTAAGATGACCCTTTGGTTGTGGAAAGAGAACGAGCACTTACACTTCAACGGTACTCTTTATTTTCGCTATTCATCTTATTTTTAATAAACATTTACTCCATCTGTTCCATTTATATATGTTAGCTTGCCTTATTTTCTTGTCTCAATTATATGACTCTATTTCTTTATTGAAAATGTTTTATTTTGTTTCGTTACTAATATATTTTTATTTAATTTGTTAGTCATAACTAATTTTTCTTACTTAATCTTGAAAATGTACAAATATAAATAAGGGTAGAATTAAAAAAGTTTTCGACAAAAAATATTTTTCATTAACATTAAATAAACTTTTCTAATTCGTGTGAAAAATAAAACCAGCCTATATAAATGAAAAGGAGATAGTCTTATTTTTCCTCGTCTTCATTTAATACATTTATATATTTTTTTACAATCAAATGAAACTTGATATTTATTAAATGAATTTAATATAAAATACAAATAAAGAATGAGTTTGACTCTCCAAATGTGAAGAGATATTTGGAAATTTAAATTTTAAAGTTTGTTGGAGCTTTATTTTAAACATTTCTGATTTCTTTTTTAAAATAAAGAGCGTCTTATTTTTAAAAACTCTCTATCATCTTTATCATATTGAAAGCTCGTATCAGTACATCCTTAAACTCTCAGTTCATTTCTTCCATAGACCAATAACATATCTTTATCCTCCTCAAGCATTAAATAATGTTCTTGATCGTGATTTTAGTGTTTCTCATTGGGGTTCGATTCGAACCCGCATGTGACACTTAAATATATTAACACCCAATCAAGTAAATAACCAAAAGTAGACAATTTCTTTTAAAAATTGTTAGGTTTTGATACCAAATGAATCATGGACTATGATGTAAACATCGGATTAAATTTCATAGGCATTAGACGATGAGTAAAATTGTTACCACCAGTCAAGTCCAAAGGCTCGATCCGAAAATTATGTGGATCGTTGGAAGTAGCTTAAGAAATTAATGCTACTCACCGTTCATATTATTACCTAATTGGATGGGTTTTGAATCTTGGTCCATTTAACCTTATTATTTGTCCAATTAAAGCCTAATCTAACCCTATGTATATGCTGATTTAACCCTAGATGTGAGCGTGTGATTTGTGTATGAAAAAGAGAGAAAAGCATGGCCTTTGAGATAGAGAAATCGACTGCCTGCTGGAGAAGAAAAATTATTGACTTTCCTTTATTTTTTTGCTCTATTCTCTTGCCTTCTTTTGTTATTTTTCTTCTAGCCTTTATGGTTGCAAATCATCACCATTTTCTGGTCATTTATGGGTGAGATTGAGGAGCATCCGATGTGAATATATTGGTTGTAGACAGGAGCCGTTTGAATTGGTTATTTGGTAGAAAAAGGTAACATAAAACTGAGCCCGAAAAATACCATTTTAAAAATCCTTGGAGCGAGCTACTACAACAATTGGTATCAAAGTGTTAAAGTGGTGGATTTAGCTAAAAAAAACTAACCAAAAACAAACCAAAGAATCGATACAAGCGAAGCAAAAAAAAAAGATTCGAAAAACTGTTCGAAAACTCGAAAAAATTGAGGTTGTTTTCGTGATTTTCGACCAAATCAGAAGGAGTTTGGTAAAACTGAGACCACCGACGTGACTGCAGCTGGAGGCACATCAGGGCGTGAAGCTCACGTGCAGAGGCTATTGGTGGTGCATGAGCGCGCATGCGACGATTCATACAAAGGTCTCTTCAAGCAGTTTATTCCTAACATTTTTTTGGCATTGTGGTGTTATTAGTTTTCCATTTCAGGTTAAACGGTGAAGTCTAGACAATTTTACCCTTTGAGCATTTGGGTTTCAATTGTGATTGATTAATATCTACGATTGCTGCAAACTTTATGGCGAATAGTAGTAGCCGTAATGTGGCAAATTCGCATCTCTCATTATATACAGACTCAGATTGGTCGGCTTTTGTATATTGGCTTATCTCTTTTAAATTTCAGCATTAACACGTTATCGGGCAGGTTGACAATAAGATTGGGTAGGGTTGGCAACGGTTCGGTTATGGGTCAGTTTGGCCAAAACTATAACCGCACCACCAATTTTTTGATCATACCATAACCGCACTATAACCATGTAAATCGGTTCGGTTCGACATGGTTTGGTTTGGTTAATAACCACGAAAATAAATTATTTTTTATAGGTTCATCCGTCAAATTGATATAAAATAATTTATGAAAAAACAATGAAAACAAAAACACAATATTCCAAACGAAAATGCAAACATTATCAAACAACATTTCACACAAAAATACAAACATTATCAAACAACATTTCACACGAAAATACAAACATTATCCCAATTTTCAATTGCAAAATACAAATTTAACAGACAATATTATAAATATAACAATACTAAATTTTTCCTTCATTCTTAATTGTTGTACATTGAAATTACTTGATTCATTCTTCTCCACAAGTCTTACTAGCATAGATCAGCACTCAAAATTGATTCCTATATAATAAATAAGAAATGTAAGTAGATAATACAATGATACTACCTATTCAGAATGATCTTAACTAATATTTAAATAAAAAATGTACATCTTCATCAGCTTCATTCTCGCTAAACGTTGCACAAGTTCTAAAGTATGATGAAGAAGTTGAATTTTCTACACACAATAGAAAAAAATTAACAATAAAAGGAGCCGTGCATGAGTTTATGATTTGTGGAGAGTAGGGTTTACATTTATATACTGTCATACTAATGCTATTATTATAAGCTAATGGTAAGTGAGCTGGCTAGCTGAGTCAGGTAGATGTAATGGGGGATTTTGTTTTGGGCTAAATAGAAAAGTAATGTAAAGCCCAATAATCAATTCAATTGTGTTTTTTTTAGCGGGTAATCGGTTCGATTTTGCTTCGACGGCGTAAATAACATACCCGCACCGCCACGAACCGGTTTATTAAAATCAAAATCATACCTGCCTCATTGCACCATCGGTTTGATTTTTTTCGCCCCATTCGGTTTGGTTAACCTCGATTTTTGATTTTGAGGTTCAAATTGCCATCCCTAGGATTGGGGTTATCGAGTGAGGTAACCACTGCTTATGCTAAAAACTTAGGAATTACTTGCCATAGTTGAGGTGTTGGTTTTGATTGCAAGTTGGTAATTGCTTTTGTGCTTTAATTGTTGTTTAGTCATTGTATGAGACTGCATTACGTGATAATTTGAATTCTTGTTGATATAACTTCGTGTTGTATTGATTATTCTATTAGAAACCTAGATTTGACCTGTTTAAACATTTCCTTGATACTGAGATCTCAAGTCTCATGAAGCTCTATGAACCTAGAACGGTGTATACTACGACCTTAGGATTATTTTGTGTGACCTTTTTGTATACTTTAATTCTGTTTTCCAAAAATGTCTTCACATTTCGAAGTTGGATTTTATTAATGGAAATTAGGAATTTTCAATTTGACAACAAAAGATGAAGGAAATTTTGGTTTAACAACAGATTTCAAAAGTCATGGATGACAATTTTTTTGCAAATTTGATAGAACTACAAAAAGATGAATATGATGAACTTTCTTATATTTCAATTATTTTACACCTATTCGGCACTATTTTGAGAAAAGTTGAAAAACATTATTCTACAGAAAAACTTTGGAAAAAATTTGAGAACTTATGCTTAAGTCCACTCCTAATAAGTTGTACTTACTTGAATAATTTTTCAGTTTTAAAATTGATCTTTCGATGGATCTTGATGACATTCTGGATATTTTTAACAAACTTGTTCAAGATATCGTTAATTGTGATAAGAATGTTTCTGAAACTTATTAGACCATTATCTTGCTTAATTATATGCCTGACTCATATATGGAGGTTAAGAATGTGATTAAGTATAGTGAGGACACCCTGACACTTGAGATTGTCATTGATTTTATTAAAAGTAAAGAGATGGAGATTAAGGATGGAAAAGATGATAAGAAGAGTGATGAATTATATATGATGAGGAGTAGAATGAAGTTTAAGCAAATGAATTTGAGTAGAGCTCAAAACGTGATTCGATTAGTGACTAGAGTGATGAGGGTGATAATAAAAAGCGCAAGGGTTGGGACAAGTTTGATGATAAGTGGTGTTATAGCTATGGTAAATCTGGACACTTTGTGAAAGACTGCCCCAAGAAGAATGATAAGCAGAAGGATAAGATGAGAGGTGAGGTAAGCTGAATGTGGCTATAGGGTCGAGTGATGACCCTCATGAGGTTTATTGAGAGTAAATCTAATTATTGCATATGCATCCGTGTGTAATCCTTTCTACATTTGTATGATTGTTTCATTATGTTGCATGGTTATATGACATTTCAATGTATTTGATACATGCGTTTGCATGAATTTGATAGCAATATGATTACTTTTTGTAATTGTTTACGTGTTTTGTGGGTTGGGATGCATTAGCAGAAAGTGTGTTGTGTATTTTTTGGTAAGGTATAGTGTAGGTGCCTAAGGGTACATTGGTGATTTGTACTAAGGATGTGAGATGTGAAATTTGGATCACAAGTGGAGATGTGATTAAATGTTGAAATCCTTTATCTATGAAGATCCCGATCAAGTTGTGAGAGAGGCACTTCTATCATTTCTCCTAGGTAAAGAACTATTATCCATTTAGGTTAGAAAAAGTGGTGTAGTGATAGAGAATTATCACGTGAACTTAGGATCTATTGTGCATTACCAGTTTAGACATTAGTTGAGTAATCAATCTAGTGAGCATGGTGACGATGAGAGGAGAAATGTATTCTCAAGGTATGAGTAACACGAAATGAGATATGATAATGAGTAACACGAAATGAGATATGATAAGTGTGGTGAGATCTTTTCGTAGGGTCATTTATGCATTTTTTGCAGATCTGTTGGATGTTTGTTGATTAATTTGGTGTTAATCTGTTGTTCTGTGTGAACGTGTTTTGAAAAGATCTTTACCCTATGTTATATTTTGATTGCATGTTTATTTGCTCTTGATTATTTACTGTTATTATTTGCTTCTACTTAGGTATTCTTGACATTAGCCCTAGTGAGTATAGGGAACGGATATTGTATGTGTTTTGGGTCCAAAACACGAGGTAGGGTCTATGATCTCAATTTTATTGGTTGCTTTGATTATGCAAGTGTTAATTCTGTGTTTTCATTGCTTCTAGGTTGATTGGGTATTAAGGTGAAAATTTGTTGGGTTTTGATACCCAATGTACTATTGTACTAACCTATATATATATATATATATATATATATTGTGAGAGAGGCAATTCTATCACTTCTCTTAGGTCTCCATTTAGGTTGGAAAAAAGTGGTGTAGTAATAGAGGATTATTACGTAAACTTAGGATCTATTGTGCATTACTAGTTTAGACACTAGTTGAGTGATCAATCTAGTGAGCATGGTGGCGATAAGAGGAGGTATATATTCTCCAGGTATCAGTAACATGGAATGAAATATGATAAGTGTGGTGAGATCTTTTCGTGGGGTCGTTTATGCATTTTTTGCATATCTAATGGATGTTTGTTGATTAACTTGGTGTTAATTCGTTGGTCTGTGTGAACATGTTTTGAAAAGATCTATGTTACCCTATGTTATATCTTGATTGCATGTTAATTTGTCCTTGATTGTTTACTGTTATTATTTGCTTCTACTTAGGTATTCTTAACATTAGCCCTTGTGAGTATAGGGAACGGATATAGTATGTGTTTTGGGTCCAAAACACGAGGTAGGGTCTATGATTTCAATTTTATTGGTTGCCTTGATTATGCAAGTGTTAACTTTTTGTATTGATTGCTTATAGGTTGATTGGGTATAAAGGTGAAAATTTGTTGGGTTTTGATATCCAATGTACTATTGTACATATATATATATATGTTGCTTTAACACTAGCCATGAGTGTGTGATTAGTATATGAAAAATAGAGAAAAACGTAGCCTTTGAGATGGAGAAATCGGTTGCCTGTTGGAGAAGAAAAATAGGTGACTTCCCTTTGATTTTTTGGTCTCTTCTCTTGCCTTTTTACTTTGATTTTTTTCCTTTATTTTTGTGGTTACAAATTATCACCGTTATCTTGTTCTTTGTGGGTGACATTGAGGAGCAATCGATGTGAATATATTGGCAGTGAGTTTGAATCATTTGGATTGATTGTTTGGTAGAGAAATCTAACGTAAAATTAAGCCCAAAAAACACCATTTTAAATATCCTTGGAGCGAGCTTCTGCAACAAGAATAATATCTAATGCAACCAATTGGTTCAATTTAACTACCATGACAAAAGAAAATATAACATTATCGATAAGTTCAACTAATGTAGAAACTCTATTATACTGAGTCAGTCATCAATACGTAAAACTTTTTTTTTTTTCTCTTTCTCCTTATTCTTGATTTTCATACACACAATCAAATTTTAATTTTCTTGCTCTATCATATTTTGTGATTTTCACACATACAATTAATTTTTCCCTCTTCCAATTTTATTTAGTTTATTTTAGGGTTGAAGATGAAATTTAAAGAATGTTTATTTAGTAGACTTCAATGACGAATAAACTAGCATTTCAATTTAATTTTCACCAAAATAGCAATTCATGATGCATTGAAAATGCTCTTAGGAGTTTGAGTGATCAAGGCAGTCCAAATTTTGACTACTCCAAGAAAATAGTTATTTCGAGCTTACCGGCCAGATAATTTTTATGCTCTAACAAATCTTGCTAGGAAAGAAGAAAAATTTGAAAGATTTTTAATTTCAAATATGTTTGAATATATAATTTATTTTTACAATTTCACTTATAAGCAACTTTTTTTTAAGTATATGTTTGCTATCAACTTTAGCTATCTTAAATTAGTCGAGAGACTGAGAATAGCGAATCAAATCTTGTATAAAAAGTGTGAGGCAACTGGTTCTATCTTAATATACTAAAGATTTCACTTGTTAGCCGATTTAAATCAATGATCGTCAGTGTGGCATTTTTTATTAATTTGCTCTCTGAATTTTCTTTTTTCAATGTATTGTATGTGTTATATGCTACGAAGATGTTCATAAAACGACGTTGTCCTTCTTTTTGACTAAATTTAAAAATAATAATATAGTGTAGAAAAATATTTATATATTCGATAGTGTATCGGGTGAATCTACTCCATTATTGATTTTTAATTTCCTATCATAAAATAACTAAAATACTCAAAAATGGAATAAGTCACCTGAAATAGAAATTATTTGCATTAGTGGGCTGTTTTTTTTTTAGTTTAAAAAGTCTGGCTGTCGACTATTGAAAAAAAAAATGAATTATTTATGGAGCTCGTTTTGCATAATGATAATGGCATGAATCATTTTTCCATTAATTTAACTTTTTTTATTCATTCTCAAGTTTAATAAAAACAAAAAATTAAGTTGAGAGAGAGAGAGAGAGAGAGCATAAAATGATAAATTGCATATAGGACCCCATCTTTGTTAATTTTGATTTTCGGCATCTATTTTTTCCCCATTTAAATACTCAAATATCCATTTTCTTGCCCTTTTCTACAAGCCATTGAAGTGAGGTTTTGGTCTGCTTTCCCTTGATGCAGTTCACGCAGCACACTCTAAAGTCATAGTGAAATCAAGAGTAAGAGGTACTCCTTCTCCCACTAACCTCCGGATTTTCCTCTTGGAGATGTGTCCCAACCTCCTATGTAAGGGCATGGACGAATTTTTCTTACCCATACCACCTTTCATTTCAGCATGAACATGACCATAAGGGACATCACCTTGCAGAGTAATAAGGGACTGTTGACCACTAAGCTACTGAAGTGGGCAGAGCATGAGTTTTTTTTTTTTTTTTTCGCTTTTTGTTCTTGATTCTCACATTCCAAACAAAATCCCTTCCACTCCATAAAGCCTCACAAAAGAAAAGAGAAAAATAAATCTTGATAGGGAACTTACATGACCGGCATTATTAATCTAGTATTTAAACAAAGTCCTGTTTGGCTTCATTCTTATTTTTTTCTTCTCTTTTATTTTCAACCACACAATCTTTCATAAAATAATATTACACATAAATCGAAAACTTTTCATTCTTTTTCAACAACAGATTTTTTCAAAAAATATTTCAAACATTAAAATTTGAAAAAAAAAAAAAAGGGAGCCAAACGAGGGCAAAATTTAATCAGACGATAAGAATATAAATGTTAAGAAAAATCAAATGACTATTTTGAGACCACCTTGCCTGAACGAGGGGATAAAAAAAGAGTTAATCTATTTATATATATATGGTGTACAGCCCCCTCACATATTGAAGGGGTCCACATGAATTTTTAATTGTGTGCACAGTATCACAGTTGGAAAAAAAAAATGCCAACCCAACCTTAATTTGATGCATATAAACACGTGATGTCTAATTTTACCAATTTCTATATACACCACCAAAATATTATGAGAATTTTTCCACACAAATTGAAAGAAGATCATTGACAGTCCACCAACACCAAAAAATGAAAAATTGTAGAAAAAATGTTAAACTTTATGTACTCCTGTTTTGCAGAAATTAAAATGGGAAGAATTCATAATCTAAGGGTATTATTTTCACCAATTCAAAAATTAGGTACATAATTTGAAAATTCAAAATTCAGGTATATATTTAATTAATTAAAAATATTTATTAAATAATGATAATGAAGTCACAGTTATATGATTAACAGTCACAGATTCACAATCATAGGACACAGATTTATTTATTGGTCATATATCTTTAAATTAATTGGTTACAAACCATTTAGAGGTCACAAATAAAAACTTTGATGGGTCACAAATTATTTTGAGTTGATAGATCAAAAAATTATAGGTCACAATTTTAATCTATCGATTTTATAGTTCGCAGTTTATGTCATTGGTCACAAATCCAAAAAATTATAGGTCACAGGTCGTAATTTTCAAATTTGATAGTCACGGATTACTTTTTTTATCACAAAATAATCGGATTTTAAAGCCACAAATTAATAGTCAGTCACAGAGAGACCAAATAGTAGGTCACAGACACCAAACACCCGATCTCGATCCACCACAATACTCGATCACAAACACTACCCTGACCACAACACTATCACAACCATCACCACCACCACTACCACCACAACAATTCCCTTTTGCTCCACCAGCTTAGAGCGTTTAGGAAAATGTTGCTAGCCTTTGATGAAGGCAAAAATGGAGAATTAGAAGTTCAATCATCTCCCATCATCAATTACTCACAAAAAGAGAAATGAAATAAAAGTTGCTAGCAGTGGCATTTGTTATGTCTTAGGTAGTGTTTTCATAAATCATAGAATCTATATAACCTGGAACCCAATATCACCACCATCATCATCACCAACATGAAAACTACCATCTCTCCAAAAATTGACAAACCTAACTAAAATACCTCAACACCAGCCATCGCACTAAACCATGAAGACCACCCAATCGCCAGCAATGACAAGGATCGAACAATAAGAGTACACCACACCAGCTAGATCCCTATCATCGTCATATCGAAAAACCCGAAACCCCCCCCCCCAAACAAAAAGGCAGATTGGAACTGCAACTTCGCATCGCTACCAATGTCGCCTTTCCCCACGCTGATATCGGGGCATTCCCTTCGCGTTGATTGCAGTGTTGAAGAGAGAAAAGGTAGAGATGGGCCCAAACATTATCTACAATTCACCTCCCAATCCACAACAACGTCGAAAAAGAGACGGAGAGCTATAACGTCGACGCTGCGTTAACAGTAGTGTAGCCTCCCCACGTCGGTGTTGGCACCGACGCATCTCCTTCGTCGCCTTTGTAGTGTTTGAATGGGTCGTTGGCGTCGAGAAGAGAGAAGGAAGAGACAGGATGAAATTTGAAAATGGATCAAATGATTAGGGTTTTTAATTGAATTGAGTGGATTAATTACATATAATACCTTATTTTTGCATAAATAAGCTTTACCCCTGAATTTTGAATTTGAAAGTTTAAGTATCTGGTTTTATATAATTTCTACAATTAAAATTCAAATTTTAATCTAAGTTGAAATCAACAACTATTCTTAACAAAATATTTGATAAGATCCACAATTTTTGGCTCACTAGTCAAACTCCATTTGGATTGGTTGTTTGATAGAGAAATGTAACGTGAAATTAAGTCTGAAAAACACTGTTTTAAATATTCTTGGAGCTAGCTTCTGCGACAAGAATAATATCTAATGCAACCAATTGGATCAATTTAAGTGACATGACAAAAGAAAATATAGACATTATCGATAAGTTCAACTAATGTAGAAACTCTATGATACTGAGTGAGTCATCAAAATGTAAAACTTTATTTCTCTCTCTCCTTATTCTTGATTTCATACGCACAGTCAAATTTTAATTTTCTTGCTCTATCATATTTCGTGATTTTCACACATACAATTGATTTTTCCCTCTTCCAATTTTATTTATTTTATTTTAGGGTCGAAGATGAAATTTAAAGAATGTTTATTCAATAGACATCAATGACAAATAAACTAGCATTTCAATTTAATTTTCACCAAAATAGCAATTCATGATGTATTGAAAATGCTCTTAGGAGTTCGAGTGATCAAGGCAGTCTAAACTTTGACTACTCCTGGAAAATAGTCATTTCGAGCTCACTGGCCGGCTAATTTTTGTGCTCTAAAAAATCTTATTAGGAAAGACGAAAAATTTGAAAGCAGTGGCTTTGAAGAGTCTTGAATGAGGGGACAGAGGCTAAGTTTTTAAAATTACTTGCGTGTAAATTTTTAATTTCAAATATGTTTGAATATATTGTTTATTTTTACAATTTCACTTATAAGTAACTTTTTTTTAAGTTTAACCAAACATGCATATTAACTAAACGGAGTCCGGAAGAAATGTTTGCTATCAAGTGTAGCTGTCTTAACTCAGTCGGAAGGCTAAGCATAGCAAATCAACTCTTGCATAAAAAGTGTGAGGCAATTGGTTCTATCTTAATACGGTAATGATTTCACTTGTTAGCCGATTTAAATCAATGATCATAGGCAGGGGCGGAGCCAGGATTTATGTTCAGTGTGGGCATCATTTTTCGACGCCGAACTTCGAGGTTTTGATCATAGATTTAGTGATGATAAAAAATTAAAACAATATTACAACAACACTAAAAACGACATAATTTATATATTAAACTTGTTCCTTGCGAGTTTTCATATTTTGATATCGTCGTACAATAACTTCATTATCGAGTTTCAAAAATATATCTCTCTCTACATAAACAATAGTGCTATCATTCATCCACTGACCATCCATCCGATTGCGCAATCTATTCTTTACGATGTTCATTGCAGAAAAAACTCTCTCCACAGTAGCGGTAGCAACCAGTAAAATCAATGCTAAAGTCAAAAGTCTATAAACCAATGGATATACCTTATCTTTCTTTGTCATAACCAACTTCTCCGCAAGATCACCAAGGCCATTCAACTCTTCAAACTCTTTGTTAGAGCGCATGTCCAAAATATAAGTCTCAAGTTGATCGCTAAGTACAATGCCATCTGCTGCAGAGAAATCTAATGGATAAAACTCAGCAAGTCTAATTAAGATTTTCTTGTCAAAAGAAGAAAATGAATCTTGTGGGCATAAACAAGCTACACAAAGGAGTAACTCTGTATTTACCTCCAAGAAACGATCATTCAATTCTTGAAGTTGTAAATCGATGACAGAGTAGAACAAATCTACTCGATAATGATGTAAATTTGTAATTTCTGGAGAATTACGCTGAGGGCGACCACGTATTGCAAGGCGTACAAATATATTATCCATGTTGGGTACATAAATGTAATGTTGTTGACAAAAAGAACATACTTCTTCAAAAAAGGAGTCCCACCCTTCGTCTCTCATTATGTGGAGTCTTCGTTTGCACAATCTCACCAATTGCATTGCACTCATAATATCTTGATCTTTTCTTTGCAATGCCTTTAACAGTTCATTTGACATCGCCAACACACTTCTCATCAACTGTAGATTAAATGCAAAATCAAATCTTTGTATCAACTCCAATAAATTTGTTGCATCAGATCTTTGATCACAAGAACAAGATTCATCTTCAACAATTATTGCAAGTACATCTAAAATAGAAGAGAACATGGCAAGCAAGCTGACCAAAGAATTATAATGTGAACTCCATCGTGTATCACCAGAGCGTTGAAGGGTTGTTTCTTGATTAAGTCCTCGTCCACTTAAAATCTCACATTTTTCCAATGCCTCAACAATAAAGTCTAATTGTTTTTCTCGAAGAAGATCACAACGCTTGGAAGATGCTCCGACAGTATTTATCACGTTCCCAACCACATGAAAGAAATTAGTAATAGGGATGTTCTTCTTTGCCACAGCCACAAGCGCAAGTTGGAGTTGATGAGCAAAACAGTGAATGTAAAAAGCACATGGACTCTCCTTCAAAATGAGTGTTTTCAGACCATTCATAACCTTGTCCTCTCAATCTAGACATACTCAAGTTATATCTAGAAAATACCTTGTCAATTGCAGCCTTAAGTGATAGAGCCGTGGTACTTGTAACATGTTCAATCCCTATGAAGCGTTCATTGACATGCCCACTATTGTCTACATAACGTAAAATAATAGACATTTGCTCCTTCATTGACACATCACAAGATTCATCAACTAGAATAGAAAATAGTGAGTCACCAGCATCTTTGATAATAACATTGATCGTTTCAATAGCACAAGCATTTACTATATCCTTTTGAACATCAGGTGATGTCAATTTGCAACTGTGAGGAGCATTTCCCAATGTGACGGCATTGATAGCTTCATTATGAGCAGCCAAAAATTGCAATTGCACTAAGAAGTTACTTGGATTGGAAGAATCCTCAGATTCATCATGACCTCGAAATGAGTGCCCTTGTCGCAAAAGAACTCGAACACAATCAATGGATACATTAAGGCGTGTGACATATGCATTTCTTGCTTGTTCTAACTGTTTGTAGAAAACTGATTGAATGCGTTGCTCTTGATTCATCAACACTTCACACTTAATGCGAGCTTGATTATGTGCACTATCATGAAATTCAACATGAGTATGAAGCCTTTTTTTATCTTTCCAATATGTAAAAGCTTCGCCAACAAAAGACTCACCTCCACCTTGCTTTCCAGAACTTGTTCTGAAAAGATAACAATACAAACAATAAGCAGCATCCTTCTCTACACTGTACTCCAACCAACTACCGAACTCTTTGAACCACGAAGGATTGAATCGTCTAATTGTTACTCTAAATTGTCGTTTTGGAAAGTCATGATCTTGGGACTGACAAGGACCTTTTAACATATATGCTCTTCGAACTTTATCTTGGATGTTAGCATTGTAATCCAAAATGGGTATCCTTAAACCAGGATCAGTTGGAAGTTTTGTGACATCAAACTCCACAT